GGCAAGTTTCATTGATTGTGTGAACCGGTCGACATGGCAAGCCATCAGTACACCAACCTGGCCGCATGCCAAAACACGGTGTGTATATTTGCTCGATCGCTGCCTGTGAATGTGTGTGTTGCCTTGGGCACTGAAGCCCCTGCCCTCATCTCTTTGCCCCACTGGTTCTGTGACTCGGACGCCTTGCAGCGCAAGGTCTACTATGATGTGATTGAAGATACCATTGAGAATATGCGCCAGCCCCTTTTGGACGACGGAATGGATATGACGTCCATTGACCGCCTCAAAGAGGTCAGCCATGCTGTTGTTGAAGATGTTGACCCTGCTCCGTCATTGCGCGGAGTGATGGCCTTCGCACGACCACCATATCGTTCGGCGCTATTTTGTCTGCCCTTGAGACCTCCTATGCCCCGTATGCTCTGTGTGGAGACAGCTTCCTCTCAACAAGCTCCAAAGAGGGCCCGATGACAAGGCCCGCAGACGGTGGATGGCCTTGTTCTTTCGACCCCAGCCTAACTGGCCGTGTCGGCTCGGCCCTTTCTAGGTGTGGCTGGAAAACTTGATTCGGGAGGATGTGTTTGCCCCCTATGTTCCAGGTACGGCTCGAAAGGGCCCATAACATGGCCTTGTCCTGCGAGGCGAGCACTGTTTGACCCTCTGAAAGTCACACCTTTGCTCTTTTCTTGCCTCGCATCCAATTCTTGCCATTTTAGCTGGATCAGAGGCTACTTCTCAGTCTACTGCACAGGTGAGAACCAGCAATGTCCTGCCTGTGCACTATCTCTATTCGTGTACTTCTTTCACGACCGCAATGACGCGCGCAAGCTCACCATCATGTGTTCTGGTCTGGCTGCACATTTCGGCCAACTCGCAGAGCGGTGGCGTGGCATGTAAGACAACTCCCCATCCGCCTCGCGTAGACTTACCGACCGACTACTTTGAGCCCGGAATTTTCGCTCAGCGCTTCCTTGCCCTTCCACCCAAACAAACAAGCATCTGCCAGGTGGCGCACTAGCTTTGGCTCATCGACCTCGCATCAATGGCACAGCGTCGGGTGTGCTCCCACAGGTGGATGGACCATCGGATGCTGATGAGGGTGAAGAAGCTGCTGAGAATGAGGATGAAGACGACGACGACGACGACGACGACGATGAGGAGGGCAGTTTCCATACAGCCAATAGCCTTCTTTGTTTTTACGACAGGGTAAGCGTGGAGAAGAAAAAAAGCTGCCGCGTTGCTACTCTCCTTGCCTGAGTGTCGCCAGATTTCGTTTGTAGCTGTCCCTGTGCCCTCTGTGAGCCAGGTATCATCCCTCACCTTGCAGCATTGCGTGCTGTCACTTTCAACCCAGGTGTCCAAGACCAAGGGGGCATACAAATGCGCACTGCGCAACGCCGTATTGACGGTGGACCGAAAAAGCTATGTGTTTTCAAAAATCCAGGCCGAGCTCAAGTGGTGAAGTGTGCACTGTGTGTGACCCTGGCCAGGCCCGAGTCTGTTGGTTGAAGTCTGAGAAGCTCGATGGAGTGTAGTGTGGCCCTGCCAGGCTTTTGTCATCTTGGAGCGACTTGCTGGTGTTTGTCAATGGATCAGAGTTGCGTCTCCTTCCTCTCAGTCTTGGCACAAACGAACACATGTACCTCAAGGCTCACGCTGCGACTACAGCGATCTGAACCTAGGGCACCACAGCCATACGCACTACATGGCGTGTTCGCATCACACATGTCCACCAACCCGAGCATCAAGTCATCTGCATCGAAAGAAACACACACACACACACACACACACACACACACACACACACACACACACACACACACACACACACACACATATGATGAGCTTTTTGAAGCAAGTGCCAAAGTAACGCTTTCTTGTTTTTCTCGAGTTGACCTGTGCTGCTATCATGGCGGAGAGTGCACCTGTTGCCGTGCCCGCGGCCACACCCGCTAGCAACGGCAGTCGCGATGGAGCCAACTCTAACGGCGGCTTTCGCAGCGGCTTTGGGGGTGGGAGTGTTGCCTCCTACGACGAGCGCATCGGGGTTGCACTCATCGTGTGCTTCATTGCTTCTGTCATCGAGTTCTCCGCTGCACTGGATGCGTAAGTTTGGCCACGCCACGCCCATGTACCAGCACACTCCAAACTCACCCATGCACACACATGTGCACTCCCCCCACTCCCCCCGACCTCCCCCCTTGAGTCAGGTGTGACCATCGCAAGACTTGCGGGCACGCTCGCTACGAATGGGCCGTCGGCTGCGGAATTTTGAGCGCCACCATCTGCCTACTGCGCTTGGCTCTGATCAAGTTTCTGCCGACGGGTCTTGATCAGCGTGTGCGTGCCCGCGCACCTCCTCGCTTCAGATTGAGTCGTTGGAGCGACATTTCCTGACCTCGCATGCGATCAATCTGCCGCTGCAGGCCGATGCTGCCTTTGCCACGTGTCTCATCCTCCTCTGGGTCGGCGGTGCTGCTTTCAATACGAGCCAAAAAGGTTCGTGCGGGTCTCATCGTTTGCTGGCTGTGGCCTCCACACTGATGCTTGGCCTGGTGCTCAATCCATTTAACTCGCTCTGGTTAGGTCCCTTTGGAGATACAGAAAACGGCTACTTTGCAACGTACGCGTGCTTTTATTGCTCTTTCCTCTTGTGCTCACAGCCACCGCGCTTCTGTTCTGGCCCGATCTACCATTCATTGCCTTACACGTGCCTTTGCTCGGTGCCCAAACGGATTTCACGAGCTTAGATGGTTGGCTTTTGGTGCAGCTGCCCATTACGCCATTCTAGCTTGGGCAAACGTCTCGGACAAGATCAAGCAATTGCAACTCGCTGACGGCCTTTCGCTCCTGCTCATTGCTTCCTTGATTGAGTTGTCCGTGGCTGCTGATCGCTGCAGCCAGAAGCATGTGACCTGCGACCATTCGGACGGCGCTGCCGTGGCCGTGGGTGCCGTTTCTGTTGTGATTGCTGGCCTGCAGACGCTTCTCGACCGTTTCGCTCCCGACATTGGCCAGTTAACGTCGCGCATCCTCTCCCCCGTGCTAGTGGCGCTGTGGGCTGTGGGTGCCGCCCTTAACACCTCCAGCAAGGGGCCCTTTAGCAGCTCCTGCAGCAGCGCCAATGGCTACTTTGCCACATGGGCCTCCTTCTTCTTCAGCCTCATGTACCTCTATGGCGTGTTTGTACACCCCCCAGCTGCCAAGCAAGACTATGAGCAGCTGCCTGAGTAGTTGCACCCTAGTTTTGGCCTTGGTGCCCCAAGCGCCCCCCCTCCCTCACCCCCGATTGAATCGAGCCACATGCTTCAATGCGTCAATGTCCACTTCTGACTGTATGGATTGACTGGTTTTTTGGCAAGCAGGTGACAAAAGGCTCATCCTGACGGCATGCACGAGGGCCACCCAGGACCCCAAGCTTAGTCGCGGGCTTACTTAGCCCAGCCCCCTTGCGTCCGGACTTGCTTAGCCAGGGCCATAATCTCAGCCATCCGCGCCGCCTCCCTAATATTCAAAGCCATGATCTGGTGAATCGGAACGCAAGCACGCAACCCTGGTCCCTTCCGAAATTGCAAAGCAAAGATAACGTCGGGACAATGCAGTCCTGCAGTCGTTGTACGAGCGTGTCACCGCGGCTTGGCCGTACTTTTCTTGGTATGCATTCAGCTTGCGATCTGCCACAGCACGCCGCTTGGCCCTGCAAGACCCATTCCCATTGTTACCGACAAAAAGATGAGGCAATTTGGGCACTCGGTCCGCACCTGATCTGACACCATGTTGTCAGGCAAGACTTACGCCCGGGATTCACGCCGCTCTCGTTCCCGTCGCACCAGGTGCGCAAATTCACCCGAGCTCGAGCCCATCAGGTCGCGCTCGGGCATTTCTAACAGATATAACAAGCCATTCCACATGTTGTAGTCAAGGAATCGTGCTGCGCAATCTTTGCCTTGTGCGGTTTGGCTTGGGACAGCGGCGGTGGCGCAATCGTACCTGGGGATTGTTGTCGCGCCCGACGATCCTCACGAGCTGCCGCTTTCTTTGCGAGCCGCGCGTCACGGCCCGTTTCTTTGGGCGCCAGCTCATCCAGCACCTATGAGCCACTCCACCAGAAATGATTACATGACATGAAGGTGGAAGTGGCCGAACTCGGGACGCTTGCAACGTACGGCCTTTTGATCTTGCCGGCGGCGATGGCGTTCACTCTTCTCGACTGATCGCTTGTAGGATTGTAGGGTTTCCCGGTCAGGTGCAACTGGCCCGTGCTTGACTCGCTTGGCCTGGGTTCAGCGGAAGTGAGGCCAGTGCACGAGCTGCACGGCAAGCCAGCCGGCCCAGCATGGACGTTCTGACAGTGGAGGGACGAAACGCACCGTGCTTTCGCCACCATTGGCCTGGCGAACAGCATCTAGCTTGGCCCGCTCATCCCCGGTAATGCGTTTGGAGAACTGGTCGGCCATTGTATTGAGAAGCACGGATGACAAAGTGTGAGTGCAAGCTCAAGCAAAATTGTCCGGACGCAAGCGAGGTGAACGTGAACCAATTGCAAGGAACCTACACCCCAGGCGTAGGAGGATCGCTCATCTGAAGTAGCGGCGGGCGCAGAGTAGGCTCCATCGTAGTACCGATGGGAGAGGTCACCTCGGTTCCAGCGCTTGATAAACTTTCGAAAGTAGTGCCGGCTGTCCTCGCGATCCAGATCCTCGAGATACTTGTCCTTTTCTTTCCTCAACCAGCGCCTAAACTCGGCTGTCCAAAGCAAGTATTCAAACCCCAGGTCCATGAGTCTCAACGTGGCCACGCCGAAAGAGCAAAGGCACTGTCTTAAACAGGCGCGACCCGTGACTTGCCGCTCTTTTCGTAAAAGTCGTCCTCGGTCAGTTGTTCGCGACCTGCTGAGATTGAAGATGGTGAGACCGAGCCGAAGCTGCACGCCCACTCGGTGCAGGCAGCCATGACAACCATGCGCCCGCTGCACTCAGCCGGTCGCCATCCTGTCCTTGTACAGCGAGCGCCCTTTCTTACCGGACGAGTCGCGCTCGGCGCGCTCGTGGTCACGCGGCATCGTGAAGAGCGTTGAGCGCCAGCGCCACCAAATACATCCCGAGACCGCGATACTCTCACTCCTTTCGCTTGCTGCACCTGGTCTCTTTTGTTTGTTGCGCTTCTTCATCTTCTGATATATTTTCTTCATCTTCTCTCATCATTCTATGTAAGCTTTTCCTTTACTATACCTCTACTTCTTCTTCATCTTCTTCTTCTTCATCATCATCTTCTTCTTCATCTTCTTGTTCTTCTTCTTTGGTGTTTTGGTTGTGTGGGTGTTGACGTGGTGCTGGTTCAGTGGGTCCCATTTGGCAGCGCGAGATCAAAGCAGCAAGCACACGGCGACCCCGCGACAAGGAGACTCTGCTTCAGTCACCCAAGAACGTGTCCTGTACAGCACCGCTTGTACTAGCAATACTCAAACCAAAGCCATGGCCACCTATCACGGTTCGTCCGTGCCCTTGCCCTCTTTGTCTCAAGCTTTCGCTGCCATCGCCTTGTGACGCGCTCGAACGGAGCTGTGCGCTACAATTGGGCACATGGGCGCGCTCTCTCTCTCTCGCTCTCTCTCTCTCTCGCTCTCTACCCGTCTCATGGTACTTCTTAATATGTTGCTTTGCTACTGGCACAGCTCGTCATATCCTGGTCAAGCACGAGGAATCCCGTCGGTGAGTAACCAATCATCGCCCAACGGCTTGGTCGCCTGCTGATGAAACAGATGCTCGAGAGGTTGAAAGTCCGATGCGTTGACCTCACGATTGTCTGCCTGCTGCCTGGCACCAAATTCGCTCCCATTCAACAGTTGCAGCAGCTGGAAAGACGAGGAGGGCAAGAACATCCGTGCTCGCTCCAAGGTTCAGGCCACCGAGATGCTCACCAAGTTTCGCGAACAGTGCGTGTGCTTCCTTCAGCTCTCGCAACCTCGACCCAGTTCGAACCCCGGATCCACTATGGGCACCCAGGCTCACAGCACTCCCTTGCTTGCACTAGGATCGTGTCTGGTGAGAAGAAGTTTGAGGAAATTGCGGCCGTCGAGTCGGATTGCGGATCGGCAGCACAAGGCGGCGGTCAGTCCTTTATATTCAACTTGTTCCTCGCAACCCTATGCCCTGCTAGCCTGCCCCTCGAGACCATGGAACCCATATTTTCGGGTTCTACTCGCCCATTCACAGCCATGTTTAATATGTGTTAGACATTGGTACCTTCACGGCAGAGGAAATCCAGAAACCTTTTTTTGACGCCGTTGCTGGTCTGGAGGTGAACGAAATCTCACAGGTTGTGCACACGGACTCGGGCTCCCACATCATCCAGCGCCTGCCCTGAGAATGCTTTTGTCATCATAACGATGCCTTTCAACCACACATAATGTCATTTCCCACCCCCTCTTCATGCCACTCAAACACTACCACCCCCACACACGATCACTTTTTGAATGCCCGCCCATGAGCAGTCTTGCTCCTTTGAAACGACAAAATTGACAACCAAGACATCACGACTGCCGCTCTCGTGAACGAAATGAGTTGAAGCCCCTTTCACTCGATTCCTTCAGCCATCACATCGGAAGCTGCATGACAGTTTACACAGTGACCTCAACACATACACTCCACACTCCATACTCCACAATCCACAAGCAAGTCAAACCAAGCCAACGCAGAAAAGAAGAAGTGTAGGAGAGAGAGAGAGAAAGAGAGAAAGAGAGTGATTTTGGTGGTAGAATCAAAGCTACGGCTCTCATTTCTTGCCCTTGCGCTTGGACTTGAGACGTTGTTGTTTGGCGGCATGTGCCTGCTGGCGTTCGCGACGCTTGCGCTCCTTGAGAATTTGATCCTTGGGTCGCAACTCTCCACCCCGCTTGGCCTGCAGACCAATCGAGAACCACCACAAGATGGCGTTATTGTGAGCAAACAGCGGCACCAGACCCTCATGGCGGACAAGCAACAAGTTTTACCTTGCTCGGAGGGCCCTGCTGCCGACCGCCTTGCTTGCCACGCTTGCTGGGAGGCCCACCAAAGTCCCCCTCGGGTTCGCTGGGTGCACCGGACTTGTGCCATCCACGCCTGGACCCCAACGCCCGAATCAATGCACGTGCATGTATGAGTTGGGTTTCGCAAAGTGAGATTTTGCGCGATTCAACTTACCGGCGTTCACGCGGGTCCTTGTGCCAGCGCTTCACCTGACGCTCGTCCTCCTCCTCTCCGGGACGTTGTCTACAGAAAGTAGAGTTTCAAGTGAATCAAACGCAGGGCCTTGGAACAGGCCCAGCGAGGCGGGGCAGTACGCACTTGTCGGCATGATTCTTCGACGACCACTCCTCGTAACGATTGCTGCGGTAGGTGGCCGGAATCTTGTTGCCAGCCTCGGTCTTGATCATCTTCTTGTCACCGCTGGCGCCCACAAACTTTTTCTTTCGGCGATCCCTGAAAGCAGGATGCATGACCAGTACCAGATCAGACGGTCAAAGTTTCGCTCGAACAGGCAGAAATCCCACCAACGTCCAAGGCAAGGACCATGCAAAGAACTCCAAACACGCCCTGCCCAAGTGCCCGCGGAAACCCAACATACCACTGCTTTTGCTGGGACTGGCTGTGCATGGTCTGATTGTCATCGCCCGTAAGATCGAAAGTAGCCTGTGCTGAAGCCCGGGCAAACGAACCACCCTCTTGCATAGCATAGCCGCGCTCATCGTGCGTATTGGTAGCACGGTACGGCACAAAGACGTCGTCCGCCTCCTTTGCGCGTGTAATGGTGACGCCGGCCGAAGCCTCGCCGACTGCACGCTGGCCCTTGGTGACGGCAATGGCCGCCTCAGGCAAACCAGCTTTGTTGCGACCCGGTGCCACAATCGTACTAAAGGCCTCGATGAGGTCATCGCCTGTAGCTTGTTCCAGGCCGTCCGACGTCTGATTGAGGGAGGCAGTGCGATCCTTCATCCAGTCAGCCTGTTGCAACAATTCCTTGCGTCGCTCTGTCACGTTGTGGCGATACTGTTCGTGCGTTGCCCTATTGTTCAAAGCCCGGCAGCGTTTTGCAAGGGTGCGCAATGCAGCCGCATGATGCTATCATGAGCTCGGTAGATTCGGCCCCACGGGAACGCACGACTGCATGTTGGACGCACCGTTTCTCAGACATCATCAGCAATACGGGATCCGTTGGTTTTTTGTTCACTTCAAAGACTGTCTGAGACGGCTTGAAGCGAGAAAGCGCTTTCAGCACTGTCTCCTTCTCCAGCTCGCCAGTGGCGATGCGACTGAGGAATTCGGGGTGAAGCTGATAGCCAATCTCCTCAACTTGTTTGGAGCGCTTGACAGACTCTGTGGCCGCCTGAGGTCGCGAGCTGCGCCGCACCCATGCCACAGCCCCACAAATGAGTACTCATAGAGAAAAAGGAAAGAAAGAACCCGTGCCTCGACCTGCCCACTTCCCCAACCCGGTCAAACTCTGTTTAGTACGTACCGATCATAGTTTTTGTAGCTGTTGATCATGACCTTGTGCAGAGACTGCAAGTCGACACTGCCCTTGAGATGGGATTCGACGGCTTCGCGATCCTCGTCCAACACACTCTGCAATTTCGTTCCCAAAAAAAATAATTCAACCAGCATCAGAGGGCCGACGTGTGGCGTGAAGTTGATTGCCGTGTGACGCTAGTACGGCCCAGCTCTTTCTTACCTGGGGAACAGCGCCAAAGAGGCCGTCTTCCTCTCGCTTGGAGCGCTTGAGAGCTGGCTTAAATTTGCGCCCAAGGAAAACGTGTAAATCGACGACGTAGGGCAGCTACAATGACACAGCACCCAAGGTCAGGCAGGGGTCGACGCCAAGGTCCAATGCACCACAGCCACAACTTGAAGCACGAGCCCCAGGACAAGCGCGGCCTTACTTCATCATTGCCAATGAATGAGTAGGCAGTACCACTGCGTCCAGCACGGGCCACACGACCAACGCGATGCACAAAGAGCTTGGGGGCAGCGGGAAAGTCATAGTTGATAACGTAATCCAGCATAGGAATGTCAATACCACGGGCGGCCACGTCCGTCACCAGAAGAATTGGTGCCTTGCCGTTGCGAAATTTGGCCACGTTGATTTTTCGTGCTGGATACATTCCACATGGACGCACATGCGTGTGAGAGCCAGGACAGTGTTGGAACAAAGCAGACATTGCTTCACCAAACGTACCCGTGGGATCCAGACTACCATAGCTATAGGTGGACTCAAAGTTGGCCTTGGCCAGAAGCTCCTACGTGAAGGGCGCTCGATGGGTCAGGAAACGACACGGGCACATGTCCAGCCACCACCCCAAGGGGCAAGTGAACTTGGCAGAACGTACGCGCAAAAACTCCACGTGATGTTTGGTGGCCACAAAGATGACCGTAAGCTTGCCTTTTGGAATGATTTCCTGTACGTAGGAGGAGCAAGCAGAGAGATGAAGGCCCGACCGAGACATGGTTACCAGCAAGAAGCAACCAAGCGAGGCGACCAGTGCGCGACGTACGCGAAGAGCGTAGAGGAGCAGCGCAGGTTTGTCCTCACGCCGGCAATGGAAAAACTGGGTTCTAAAGGAAGGAATGACGACTGAGCATCGGTTGGGCCGCTACCCTCCCACCCTTCGACCACTCCGTGCAAAAAGGCGAAGCTCGAGATAGGCCGAGACAAGGAAAAAAAAACACACTGTAGCTGTTCAGGCAACTTGGTGTCGGCATCAAGGCGCACCAAAGCCGGCTCCTTCAGGCCGGCCCGGGCAAAATCCACCTGCACACATACAATGTCTGTCGGTCAGAGAATGGCATGGGCTCATGTTGCCTGCACACGGCCAACCACAAAGTTCAATCTCGTACCAAAACTTTCGGGAGCGTGGCTGAGAACAGGGTTGTCTGACGCGTATCTGGCAGACGGGCCATAATCTCGCGCAACTGTTCAGCAAAGCCCATTTCAAAGAGCCTGTTACCCAGCACCAGGACGCCGCAATGTGAGGCATGGCGGCGCAAAGGCACCAAAGCCCCGAGACTGATCATACCGATCTGCCTCGTCAAAAACCACGTATTCCGTAGTCACAAGGGATAACTCCATTTCCACAATGAGATGGAGGAAACGGCCTGGCGTGGCCACGACGATGTCCGGATTTGTGTGCATGTCACCAAACTGGCTGTCCATGCTGTCACCACCCAGAATCAAGATGGAGCGCAAGTCGCTGAAGCGGCCTAGCTCCTTGACAAACTTGAACGTCTGCAGCGCTAGTTCACGCGTGGGTGACAACACCAGCGCTCGAATACCCACCTGCAGGAGCGAATCATGGTTTGGTGAGTTGCGGCGCTGACATCGAGGTGCGTGCGTGCGTGGGCCTCAAGGGCAAGCACTTACCCGAGCGCTGTGGTTCTTGAGGCGCTCAAAGAGTGGGATTAAAAAGGCTGCTGTTTTACCCGAGCCTGTACGTGCCATAGCCACGACGTCTTGACCAGCCATAAGCAGAGGAATGGTTCTGTGTAGGACATGAATGCACACAATGAACGAAGAGAAAAGAGAAGAATAAGAGAACGAGAAGGCTGAACGACATGCTGTCCTTGCTGGCTCGACGAGAGATATTGCCGCTAAGAGCAAGCGTGCAGACAAAAATGGCTAGAATCACGGGTACAGTCAAGCATCTGGCTACGCACTTGCGCTGGATGGGAGTTGGGACCTTGTAGCCCTTTCGATTGATGGCTCGCGCAACCGCCTGAGACAAGCCTGAAGGTGTGTTGTCAAATTTCGCGATGAGCGACGCTGTCTGATAATCGTTATAGCAAGCTTGCGAATGCCAATGGAGCAAATAACCACCATGGCAAGAGGTGTGCATGGCAAATGCTGCACCGTCATCGTACCCATGGCCTGAAAAGCCCCCATCTTGACCTTGGACTTGCTTGAGGACTTGCTGGGCTCGTCATGGTCGCCGAAGTGCGCGACACCGCTCATGGCGCCGGTGAAGATTGCCTCGGAGGCACGAGCACCGAGTAGCGGCGTGTATTCGCGGTGTGGCTGACTTTCCGCACCACCCAACTCTGTGCCCAGATTCAAACCGCAATCCAACACGTCTCACGCGCACAGATCACCACCAGCTGCTCGTTGAAATACCAACGCCCGGCCACCGTGTGCTCCTTTGTCGTCGTCGTGCAAATGAATGTGATTCTCGCTGACACACACACACACAAACACACGTGTCTCAAAGGCTTACTGCAGTGTGCGAGTGAGAATACGTTGTCAGATAAAAAATGTCATGCTATTTGGAACACACACACACACACGCACACAAAGACTTTGTCGTCAAACATGGAATATGTTACGGGCATCATCCTGGCTGGAAGATGAATGGCTGGCACCTCTCCGCGCCTGCACCTGGCCCACGGTACACGCTTGCACTCACTGATACATTGACTCATCAGGACACCAATACAACAAAAGTTGAACATGAGGGTCGCCCCACCAAAAGATAATATTAGGCATCACACACATCCAGCGGATAGGCTAGAGTTCCGTATCAGCCAGCAAGGTCTGGCGGGAGCCGCGCGGTCCGAGCTTGGGCTGTGATCCACTTGCCACAAGCTGACGTTTCATCTGCTTGAGATATTTGGCGCGGCGACGGCGAAGTTTGCGATCGCGAAAAAAGCGGCGAAATCGCCGCACGACATGGTACTCAAAGGCAAAGAAGGAGGACAAGAACATTTGCACGCCAGCAAAGGCCATGAGCGCAACCAAGACCCAAATCAGGGTGACCACCTCGCCAGCAACCGCCAGCTGCATCAAAAACACGGAAATCAGAATATTAATCGTAGCCACAATGCCAATGACTGAGAGCGAGTGCTCCTTGAGCTTGGACACCACCGTGCCTCGCTCATCCGCAGGCGCTCGATGCGTGGTGGGCCGATTGCCCCACGTCAAATCAAAGGTGCGCGTCAGCGAGTAGGTCCAGAATGTCATGGTTTGAGTCGGCAAGAAGAGCATAAAGGGGATAAAGTACTTGAGCATCTGCCAGCCGGAGCGTGGGCTCACAATCAGGGAGAGCAGAACTGGGGCGCCCTGGTAGACGGCAAACACATATAGCGTCAGCTCGACCACGCGATCCCGCTTGCTGATGGCCGCATCCACAAAGGTGGTCACGATAAACATGACGGTCAGCATGTGAATCAGCGTAAAAATGTGAAACTACATTCAGTTAGACACAGAGACCAGGACCACCATGGACGCAGGGCAGAACAGGTGAGCAAAGTGTGGCCCAACGGAACAGATGGCATGACCCAGTTGGGGGATAGTGCCCGCGTTGCAAGCTGTATAAAGAACTACAGTCACGTACCATCCAACCCTCAAATTTACTGGAGGTGTGCTTGATGATAAAAGCGACGTACAGCACCAAATAAACCAGGGGAATCATGTCAGCCCAAAAGCTTTGGAACTGCGCCAACACACAAAGTAAGTGGGTGTAGACTGGTCATTGCAGGTCGAGCCCAGGCCATGAAAGAACAAGCGCATGGGCAAGTGAACACGGGTGCACTCAAGAAGCAATGCAATGAGGCACGCACCGTCTCGTTGGCGGGAAAGGTGTGACGGGTGGCCAGGCGGATCAACACGGTGAAGAATGCTGGAGAGAAGAGACTGAAAGTAATCCAAATGACTTGCCACAGGATCAGAAACTGGGTCATGAGGCGAAAGACGAGGCCGTGGGGCGAGTTGCGAACCAAGTCCAAGTTCTTGGCAAGCCAAATAAAGCAAGCAAGAGTACCGTTGTTCCAGCGGCGACGCTGAGCGACAAAGGTCTTGAGATCTGTTTCGGCCTCAAAGTAAAAGATGGACTCGGGAACAAACTCGGTGATGGTTGGCTTGCCGGTGCTCACTACCGCGGCGTAAGAGAGGAACCGATCCTCAGCCAACAGACCATTGCCCAGCAGCAAGCCAGCCGTGTCTGGATCCTGCTTCACCTTGTCAAAGAAAAAGTCGACGCCCGACCCATTGAGGTGCTTCATGTTGAAGAGACCACAGGGACCGGGAAGGACAGGCAGAAAGCCCGTGACGGAAAAAGCGCCCACAAAGGCGGCATAGGTGGCCTCGTACTCGAAGCCTTGGACTGCACGCATCCACCAAGCAAAGCCGTCTTCCTGGCCGTCACCTTGTTGTTCGGCCGTCATGACGCGCTGGCGACCCGTGACGCCGCCGCAACGCGGGAAGCAATCAAGATGCCGAGCCAGATGAAATATGGTATCTTGCTCGAAAAGTGTGCCACAATCGGTTGTGAAGCCATACTCGGCCCCGTACTCAATGGCAAAGGAGCGGAAAAACCATTCGAGGGTATTATGCTTGCGCCGGTTATCGCGCTTCACAATCAGCGTCAGGTTGAGACGTGCCGCCGGGTCGTCCTCGGGGGCAAACTGCACAGAGGCAGACTGCCAGTTGCGAGTATCTGCCCGCTGCACGACAAATGTCTCGACCTCACGTCCCGGCCATTCCTTGTCGAGGTCACCCCACCATGTGGGACCGTTATCCAACACGTTTTCTGGCATGTCGAAGATGGACTGCAGATACATCTTCATGGATGAAGAAGCAAAGCCCCAGCCGTCCATGACAATGACCACATGGAAATCCAAGTCGCGTTCTTGTAACTTGGGCAGTTGAATATGCAAGCTGTACGAGTTGAAAACCCATGCCGACAGGCCAGGATTAGATCATGAGACTGTCCCCGCAAGAGACAGGTGGCAGCAGAACGTGCACGCAAATGAAGATGCCAACAAAGTACTGGCGGTGACGACAACCACAATAAGGATCATCCGTCCCTCAAGTGCACGACGCTTGCACGTGAGCTTGAACAAGAACAAGCTCCACTCACGTGTTGAGAGTTCGGTGAAGAGCCGAGGCCGGCTCGTTGTAGGTGGGGATCACGGCGCACAATCGACGCTGCTGGGTGGTCCAAGGTACTACAAAGCCAGCGAAGAGGTGAGTAGGTGTTGGAAAACAAAAGGGGGCCAGCACGTCCCAAGCCGCCGCCTCGGCGCTTCAAGTCAAGCTGCTGCAGCGGGTGCTTGTGTAAGCTCACCGTAATAGCGTTTGCCGGCGGTTGGGTAAAAGTCGGTGTGGCGAGAGTAAACAGTGGTGATGGGATGATGAAGACGATCAAACGGGGCCAGCACAAGAGCACCCTCTTCAACTTCTGGTAGTTCCTCGGTAGTCTCCATCCCCGAGGTGTCTTGTTGAGCGGCTGGCTTGTTGGCATGGCTGCGGTGCTGGTTCTTCATGAGCGATGGTCGGGCAGGCACGGGTGGGCGTCGCTGACGAACGAGGGAGTTGCGCGGTTGCATGTGCATGTATGTGGCTTCGGTGTCGGCTTGTTCAAAGTTGGCTGTTGGTGCATGAAGCGAGCAGGTCGAATCAGGTGCAACGAGGTGAGCCGTGATGTGAACACGACATGTGTAGCATGGCAAGAGCGAGCAATACAAAGCAAGCCAAGCCCAGCCAAAGAATATTACTTTTTTTCGCGAGGCTGCGCATTCTTACCAGTTGCGTAGGGCACGCCGTGCGTCCCCAGCCCGTGAGCCCCGGGCCGGGCCCGATGGTTTGCTGTAAAGCTATGCTGGCGGTAGAAAGTTGTGTCGTTGGCCTCTGTACCAAGGCCAACGGTCGAGGAAGAGGGGGCGGGCTTGGCATGGCTGCCAACACCGGGATAGGTTGGGGCTCGGCGAGCGGAGGTGCCTTCATATCCCTGGGGCTCGGCCCCCACGTCCCATTCGTAGTCGTCCTCGGCAGCGGTGTCGGTGCTGTTTGAGAAGCGCAAGGCTGACTCTTCGCCTGTACCGGTGTCCCGGCGCAGCATGGCGTCCGTCTGCGTTTCGGTTGTAGCGCGACTCACAAAGGAAGCTACGTGCGACTTGGTTTCAGCTTCGGTTGTAGTCGTATCCGTGGATACACCAAGACCAGGCAGGCTGGGCTGGCCCACCACTTCTGGGGCCTCAGGGTCAGCCCAAAGAGCAATGCTTTTCTTCAGGTTTTGCATGTCTGGCGTACTTTGCCGCACAGAGTCGCGAAGGAGGCGGTCACGGATGCTGAAGAGGCTGATGCCCGTCACGACACTGGTGATGTAGCCCGTATCTTGTGGTGGGCCTGTACGGCGGATTGGTGGCTTGGCTGACGGCTCTGCATAGGCGGGGGGTGCTGCCACGTCTGATTTGGTGGCACTGGGCGTTGGTTCGATGGAGGGAGTAGATTGATCCGCCTCCGCCTCCGCCTCCAAGCCATTGTGATAGCGGGCCCAATCGGCGCCGTTGGCTGACTTGTTGTGGAGCAGCTTGCGTGCCTCGCTATAACGGAGAGAAGCTCGCTCAGGCTGCGGCAAATCCGAGAGGGTGGCGACGGTGTGCGCGCTGGCTCCCGCCACGTCGCTGTTGGCAGCCGTCGCGCTGGCACTGGAACGACGATCCATCGTGCAATGTCCGAGGCAGCGTCGTGGAGAGAAAGAGGTTTGTAAAAAAAAAAAGAAGAAGATAGAAAGACCACTCAAAAGCGAGGGCAGCAGACGATCAAGCTCTGCTGAGCTCTAGCCCAGGCAGTCGTCAAGTGCCACTGCGGTGCTGCCAGCGATTGGAGCAACGGAAGATGATCAGGGGAAGTTCAGGGGAAGAAGAGCGACGCAGTTGAGAACAGTGCGCAGCAAATGGAGGCGACGACTAACCACGGTACCCGTTGGTGAACTACACCGGTGGTGCATCAAGCGGTCACTGCGACAACATGCGCGTCAAGCGCTCCTGCTTAGGATTGCAGAGCGCAACAGATGCTGCAGTGCCAAAATGGATAAGCCAAGCCACCAGCTCGAAATCAAACAAGGGGAAAGCGTGGAAGAAACGCCCTTGTTCGGTGCAAAGTATCCGCATGCCGGTGTACCGGGCGACGGCATGCTCGCCACACTCCGTTGCCCCGCTGTGGTCATGCCAAGCCCAGCGGCCGGCCTGGAACGGCATGAGCAGTCCTTTCCCTGGCCGTTGCCCAGATACAGGACATGGCGGACTATTTTTATGTCCGCAAAATCATGGTTGCTTCGTGCTTACAAGCATGACTGATGATTGATCCAGGCATGCAGTCAGCATGCCTGGTTGTGCTGAGGTGCGCTGAGGTATCTGGGAATTGTGGCGGCTTTGCTTCGGGGGGTGACGCCGCGTTTATGAGGGGTCGCGGCAGTCAAGTGTGCAGTTGACGGTGATTTTTATGTTTTGCGATCGCCCACACAAGCAGCTGTTGGAGGCTGCCGTGCTAGTGCGCTGGCTGACACTCTTGGCTGTGCAACACACACCCCAGTGTTGTGGCAAACGGATTGCTTGAGTCGTTCACCAGCTCGCCCACTGCCCACGGCCCGTGCGCCAACGCCGTGGCCGTGGCCAGAGGATTGGGCAAACCCAAAACTGGATGCGTGACACCGAGAAGTCACCAAGATGCTGCACGAAGGAAATGGGGCGCCGGCTCACCGGCTGCTCCCCTTGCTGTTATTATCACATCTCCTGTTTCAGGGTTGGCTCACCCCAGCCCTAGCCCAAACGACCTCACAAGCCATTCGCACAACCCCAGGCACCATGCTCGGCCCGCAGCTCATCATACCGAGCCCACGGCAGCCCGCTGGCAATACCAGGTTCGTATCAAGGTCGCTCTGACGATTTATCTATTTCTTTTGGGCCTTCAACGCCTCTCTCTCTCTCTCTCTCTTTCTCTCTCTCTCTCTCTCTCTCTCTCTCTCTCTCTCTCTCTCTCTCTCCCCTTTCTTCTTTCTGTCTCTCTCAATCTGCCGTTCGTGGCGAGCAGTTGGAATGGACGCTTTGACAGTGGGGGCCGGGCTGTCGTCCAGGCACAAACTGTGGGGGGGGGCTGGCCCGCCACAGAAACTGAAAGCACGACGAAACGTCATGCTTTGTGTGGCGTCAATACATCAGATGTCCTCAAGCAGGACACAGCGCGGATGGCTGTACTGGCCGGAACCACCGTGACTTTGACCGCCAGCAGCAACGGTCACCCCGGACACTTTGAGTTTCGCATCTGTGCAGGTCAGTCACCGCGATGTCTCTACGCTGCGCTTATGCGCACAACCCAAAGCGACTGGCGCACATTGTTCTCACCACGCTTGGATACGCCGCTCTAGACGCGGTCGCCCTCTCGCAAAGTTGTCTCAACACACACCTCTTGCAAGTCCACGAGGACATGCGACTAGACCTCAGCTACAGTGAAAGGTCTGTCTTGACTGGCTGGCATCAATCACATGTGGACCCTGAGCCGTGTGTCCGCAATAGCTCACCTGCTTGTGTTTTGCCCCTGCCTTTGCTCTCGTACATCATTCGGTGCCGTCTCTTTTTCCTGAACGTAGGTTTTTCGTTGCAGGTGGCGATGCGCGAGAACACAGTGTTCTGCTCAACATTCCATCCGATCTGGAGTGCCGGCACTGTGTCTTGCAGTGGTACTTCGTCCGAGCCGACCGTTGCCTACCCCCAGGCTACGCTACTATGAACCTCGATGCATTGGGCATCAATGCCTCACTGCCGCCGTGCACCAGCGGTGTCGCCTACCCCGACGAATATTGGGCTTGCAGCGACCTACAGGTGGTGCGCAACGTCGAGCTGATCCCCGAGGCTGACAATGCCACCCACTGCTCCCGCGAACACCGTGCTGGTTGCAAGGTGGTCTTTGGATACGTCACCAACTGGGCTCAATATCGGCCTGAACCCTGGGATTTTGCCATGGAGGACATTGACGCCAGTCAGTTTACGCACCTTATTTACGCCTTTGCCCAAGTGGCTGCCAATGGAGCCGTGGGTGCAGGCGACCCCGCCGACGTGAACATGGACCAGCCTGAGCTGGGCAACTACCGCCTTTTTCATAAGCAGGTCAGTCGACACGCCTCATCACGATGAATCGTAACGCGTGTGCAGCATGAAGAAACAAAGGGGATGTTGTTTTGTGTTTTGCCAGCTGCACGTCGTTTCGCGCCATGATTGTTGGACCATCGAGTCGCCTCATCATCAGGGTGCCGCTGCCTCGTCCATAGGTGCGCCGCGTGAATCCTGATATCACGACCCTGCTCAGTGTGGGTGGTGCCAACCTGAGGCCAGGCTTGCTCTCAACCATTGCCGCGGATGGCGCGCTGCGAGCTCGCTTCGTTGGCAATCTCATCAGTTGGGTGCGCGCCCATGGCTTTGGTGGCATTGACCTGGACTGGGAGGTAAGATTTGGTCCGCCACTGGCTGACCACTTGATGCTCAGACGCACTGCCAGTTCTTGTTTGACACTCACGTGCCGTTTGTCCCATGGTCGTCTTGGCAGTTTCCCGGCTACGAGCCCACGGGTGGGCGAACAGTGGACCGCGCCAATTATGTCACTTTATTGCGAGAGCTACGTCAGGCCATTACCGAGGATGCCAGCAAGACGGGCAAGAGCCCACTGGTGTTTACGGTGGCTGTCAATGCCTTTCAGTATATCGCCAGCCAAGGCTATGATATCCCACGCGTACATTCCTATGTGGATTATATCTTGCTCATGACCTACGACCTACATGGCGACTGGGAGACGGTCACAGGCGCCCATACAGCCCTGCGCGCCTCGGATGGCCTCAGCGTACGCGACGGTGTGTCCTACTGGCGCAATCAAGGTGCACCAGCCAACAAGCTCGTGGTTGGTGTGGCTGCATTTGGGCGCGGCTGGACCCTGGCACGATCCGGGAATGCGCTCGTCGGGGCGCCTGCCACTGGGGCGAGCGCGCCGGGCGCCTTTACCAAAGAGGCTGGTCTGCTGGCCTACTTTGAAATTCAAGACCTCCAGATCAGCGACGATTGGCGGTCAGTCTACCACAACGCGACCCGCACCATGTACGCCTATCGCGACCTACAGTGGGTCGGCTACGACTCGCCACGCACAGCTGCTTTCAAGGCTCAGCTCGTCATGGAAGAGGATCTGGCTGGTGTTATGCTGTGGACGCTGGACATGGACAACTACCAGGACCACCTTCCGCTGACCCAAGCCCTGCGTGCCAACTTGCGCGTGGCAGAGCCCGCTCCGCCTGTGGAAGATACAACCGATGATAAAGTAGATCGTGGTGTGATTGTTGTGCTTGTCATCACGTCCATGGTGGTTCTCAGCTTGCTCTTTGTATGTGGCATGCTCCTGCGACGAGACAATCACCAGAGCGTGGACTTGAATGCTGATGCTGGCGATGTTGAGCTGCAGTATGCTCCAGATACACAGCCCCTGGACTATCAACGCTCCTCCCGTTTCGATCGGGATGTGCACACGCGCCGCTCTGACATGCGCCAGGGACTCTATTTGCGTGAAGATGACCTTCTCAGTCGTGAGAGTAGCGACATCTAGCTGTTGTCCGTTCGCGATGCCTTCCCAACATGTGTCCTATGTGACCTGGCCCTGTGGGCTTATTTGTTTTTTTTGTTTCTTCTCCTTTTGAGACTCGTGGAAAGGGTGTGTTTTTTTTTTCTCTGAGCTTTGTGGTGAGTGAGCCCGGCCATGTAGAGCGCCTCGGCTTTTGCATCTTTGGCTCAATATCATGGTGTGGTGTGGTAGTCCTGAGTTGTGATTAAATTTTGAGATTTGCGTCATTTTTCTTCCTTTTTGTGCAATTTTCAAGTATTTTCTGCGTGTTTCGCACTTGTCACTTGAACGGTCTTTTGAGTGCCCCTTTCCTGCTTCACCATCCTCGTGCCGACATCACTTGTGTGCGATCCAAAAAAAAACATGGCATGGGTGTGGCCTGGATTTTTATGTCGGTCGTGGAACAAAATTGAGAGTCACTTCTTGTCTTCAGCATGCAAGTCTCTCATGACAGCGCTTTGTGTGTCTTTCTTACACAGTCTAGTCAAAATGAGGGCTCAAAATGAATGGTGTTGATTTTGACACAAAGTTGAACGACCGACCGACCCACTAGTTCTCTCTGCAAATAGGCAAAAGTCTGATTCGATTTTAAAAAGGATGATAAGATGGAAAAGAGTCGCAGGAGCCTTTCCCTGTCGCGTTCACGGCACATTCTCTTGTGGCGCGCAGCATGTGACTATTGAAACTTAAAGTTGAAGCGCTGGCCACCACCAAAAGGGTTGAAGCCACCGCCAAACGGATTGTGGCCGCGCGAAGCGCGCTCACGTTCCTCCTCCGCATCCAAAGGATCCTCACCTACACATATCAGGCGAGAACACGACAGGGTTAATGAGCTGGCGACCCCCGTCGTGGCACCGAGGGACCGTGGCCACCACACTCCATAGCCATCAAATTCGAGCAGGCCCGCGCTCGTGGGCCACTGCCGTGTCATCAAATGAGCAAAAGATAGGAAACAACGCACCGTTGTCAAACATGCGGCGCTTTTCGGGGTCCGTCAACACCTCTTTGGCGGCAGCAATGTCCATGAAGCGCTTTTCAGCGATGGCCTTTTCTTCCTCCGTTTCGAATTTATCAGGGTGCCACTCCTGTGCAAGCTGACGATAGGCCTTGGTCACGGCGCGCTTGTTGGCGTTGCGGGGAACGCCCAAGATCTTGTAGTAGTCACGCTTCTTGGAGTTTTTCAACAAACGCTGTGCGCGTTCCAAGCCCTCTTGGATCTAAGATGCATCGGAATTGACACAGAGTCATCAAACAGCATGGCATTCAACTGATGATCGATTCCATCTGGAGGATCGCGCATCGAGCTAAGACCGTGCGCCACGCCACATACCTGACGGTTTTCGCCATCCAGTTCCTTGGCCTTTTGGTGGAGGTCCACACTGCCTTCAAAATCTGAGTTACGCTCAAAGGCATGGGCCTTGTGTACCAGGTTCATGGCATGTTGAGGATCTGCAGCGATGGCCTCATTGCATTTCTGCATTGACAGTGCACACGCGGTTCATGCGGGATGAGAGATGAAAATGTGTCTGAGGATCCACAGGTAAGGTAGGGGTGAGAAGTGTGTGTGTGTGTGTGTGTGTGTGGGGGGGGGGGGTGGCTGACGTACGGCGATTGTGTCCGGCTTTTGCAAATTATCAAAGCACTCGCATTCGAGGTTCAGGAAGCGCCGCGTGTATTCTGGTTCGGAGGTGTCGATGCCCCGCGCCTTTTGTAAGTGCTGCAACACTTCAGCATACCTGCCAGCAAGGATTTGGATCGAGTGTGAAGTCAGGGCGTCGCAAGTCATATTCTTGCCAGGCAGTTCTCGGTGCGCTAACCCACATACCGCTTATGTTCGTACGCCGCATCAAGCTTGTCCATAGCCTTGTTGAACTTCTTTAGCATTTTGTAAAAACCAAAACACTCCTTGTCCTCTTCATCCAGCTTGACACACTCGCGGATGTTGGTCAAGGCATCAGCGCGTTCGCCCATGCGGTAGTACAGCTTGGAAAGCAAGAAGTAAGCACGGGTGTTGCCGCTGATCAACTTGGTGGCACGCCTGTGAGGCCACAGGGGTGCAAGAATGGATATTTGATGACAGCATAAGCGGTGCGAGAGAACAGACAGTCAGTCGAAGTCGCCAAGAGCAATGGGCTCTGCACACGATTTTGGCGGCTCTCTTCAAACACTAACATGAGATCACCAATGGCTTCGCCGCTTTCCCCCAGTTGCATCAGGCAGTTGGCACGATGCATGCGAAGCGCGCCATCGCTGTTGGCTTCCTGCACATGCATGTATCACACACGCGGGCATTGAGGCAACGAGCAAGTGAGCTGAATGATGCAAGGAGGAGGACCGAGTACATGGAATGCCTGTCAACGCTTCATTAGCCCGTGTGTGTGTGTGTGTGTATGTGCTGACCTTGGCAGCTTCTGTAAAGTGTTGAACGGCAGCAGCAAACTCGCCAGCCGCCTCAGCGTCACGGCCAGCCTGCATGTGCTGGCGCACCATCTCAATCTTAGCCAGATCAGTTGCATGCTCAGTGGCACCCTGAATGGTCATCCAACAGCGGGCGCCAGGTAAGGGATGCTGAGTGTGCTCATCGGAGAGGTCAGGGGCCTCAGCAGTTTTGGCATACCAGCTCAGTGTAGTCCGCTTGGCTCTCATCAAGCTGGCCCAAACGCAGGTACAGCTCTGCACGGCGCTTGCGCGCCTGGACAAAGTCGGGCTTCAACGCGAGGACATCCGACAGATCCTTAGTAGCTTGAAGCGAGCGGCCCATCGCCAGGTAAACGGTCGCACGCTTGAAGAAGCCCAAGTAGTTATCTGGGGCCTTGCCTGATTGATACAATTTGACGCGTGAGATGGGAGGGTCGGAACTCGTTGTGGGTGGGACAAGGGCCAGATAACCACCGGCGGTGGCTCGGGTCTGCTTACTGCATGCCAAGTGATATTGGTCCAGAGCCGAGGTGAATTCACCCTTGGTGAGAAAGGCGTCACCTTTGGCAATGGCATCAGCAGCCTCATCCGCGGCAACTGCAAGCACTGCCGGCGAGTGATGGAGACAGGATCGCGGCAACGCCCATGCCAGCATTCGTGGTTGCGTGCAGGCAAAAAGCAGCCAGAGAGCAGCCAGCAGTCGAGATGAGCCAGACAAAAAAAAACAGTCCAAGTGGCCAGAGGCTACACCATACATGATAATGCAGAAGCGACAGGCACGCCAGCCGTGTACACGCACCAGCCACAGCCATCAAGGCCAAAAGAGCAAAGCCGGCGCGGCTCGCCATCTCTGCGGGTGGAGCTGGCCAGTGCCCTTTGGGCGATGGCCGAGGTGGAGCAAAGCGGCGCGGTCTCTGACCGTCCCACGAGTCGTGGTGCTATGCCCGCTCAAATCCTCGTCCTCCTCCTGCAATGACCACAGCAAAGGACGATTTCTTAGTCAAGTGCCTTGGGCTGCCATCTGCGTGCCAGCTTATGGGCCAGCTCCCTTACTGCAGCTTTTAAGAAGATCTAGAGAGAGAAGAGAGAGAGAGAGAATTTGAACGAACGAACGAGAAGCAGTTTGCTTGAATCCTGGGAAGCTGACGTGTCAGACTGACAGTTGGTAACCCAATCGCCCGTTCGAGCCAGCTATAACAAATGGTAGCACCGACCAAAAGTCGAATGTCATACTTTATATCACATTGTGTCATTTGACACATTTTGAACAAAGCGAAACAAGTGTCACAGTGTCGCGAACATGGCGATTGCGCAAGCGGCAGGTCGAGCAACTCAAGGTTGAAGTGTGGCCGGATGTCAGACTTGTTAGATTTTGAGCCGTTACTCGCCAAAAGCTCGAGTGCAAGGCCACATGGTCAGTGTGATCTCCTATGGTCAAATTTTGTTTCACATAAAAACTGCATCACAGCCAGCTGCGTGTTGCACATTTCATTGTTTTCGTGTCTATGGCCAACGGTTGACAGTGCAGCTGGTCATGGATGTTTGAATTTCGTTTCACACCCACGCACACACAAAAGAAAAGATACACATGCTCAAATCGTGGGTCCCCCGCTCGTGGTAGTGGTCATAACCGAACGCGAAACAAAAGCGTTCTTAGCTTGCAGCTGCTTACCACTGTGGTGCCCATACATCCTCATGAACCAAACGCAAGCCTCGCTTGCACCTCGAGAGCGCGTGTCACATCACGCGCAAAAGCTAAAAAGCCAACCGCTGTGCAGAGAGAGAGAGAGAGAGAGAGAGAGAGAGAGAGAGAGAGAGAGAGAGAAGAGAGAG